GAAATGCACTTTCCCAGTCTCTCTGTACCTAGGATATGGACAAGGGATGTGGGAGCTGAAGGCAAGTCTGCTACAAAGGACAGTTCTGAGATAGAATGTTCTTATCCTTGATAAAGAAGGGAGACATGTAAAGAGGGGTCCCATCCCTCCCATCCTACCTTCAGACGTCATCACAGAGGATGCAATGGTTGGTGCTACTGCAGCCATCTTATAAGCATGAGGGAAAAGCCAAGACAATCACAAAGGAGCTGCTTATACAGTAGCTAAATATACCCTTGGCAGCCTCTGGATTTCTGGATATATGAGGAAAAACAAACCTCTAGTACTCCAAACACTTTTAACTGGGTGTTAATAACTCACAGTCCAAAACATGAAAACTGACATAGAATATGAGCCTCACAGAGACTGAAGGATTTCAAAATTATATAATGAAAAGCGGTGGAAATGTTGCGTTTTGAATACAGGCGTAATGATTTTAAATCCTTTGCTCTTTTTCACGCTACCATTTCCCTTGGACGCCAAACTGAGCAAATACTGTTAATTTTAAAGCTCTGAACAGAATCAGAGGTGACTAATAAAACCAATGCCAATGATAATCCTGGAAAGTAAGAAGAATGTGTGAGGCCACAGGGATGTGACCTCAGCAGGAAGAACGCTGCCTCTAGGTCCTTCTGCAGAGTTCTGCAGGAAAGGTCAAGTGCGGCTGGACCACGGTGGGGTCTCAGGAGTCTAGTTTTCCAACATATCTGCACTGGCAACAGCAAGGCAGTAAGAGAACTGAGCCCTCATTTGGGAGTCCCAAAATATTTCCATTAGTGGAGAGCATGCTGGAATTTCTACATTGAAAAGCATATCTCCTCCTCCCAACACAGAAAAAGGCCCCTGCATTTCATTCCAGCACACCAGTAAAGATCCGAATGGGGTTTGTCCTTGATCATATCTAGAGTATAGTCAGCTGCAGGTATTTGGGGGGGGGGGGGGCGAAGTATTTTTCTAAAACACTAATTTAAAGAACAAATCAACATCTATTATCTCCTTCATTATGTTTTAAATTATACAACTATAAATCACCCTGCAGCGGGTTATTCAAGGGCAGAATTACTCAGCTTGGCTTTCGCGAAGGTTAGAAGAATGACATCTTGTGCTTTTCCTAGTTATAATTTATAACTTTGCAACAGAACCAGCGTTGCAGGTCCATCCATTAGCGGGGTAGCTGCACATCTGTTAAAACTCAGCACAATGACTGGCTTTACACGGCCACAGGAAACATAACTCAATCATTCCAGAAGTTCTACAAACTCAAGCCATTTTTTAATGTAAAATGATTTGAAAACGTAGTTCCCTAAAACATCTGCTAAGCTCTTGCTACCCTAACACATGATATTCTTTCTACTGTTACCTGCCAACATAAATATTTGGTCACACAAAACACCCTAAGAGGCCACGTGACAGCGTTCAGCTTCAAATTTACATACCGATCCGCAAAGGGCGGGCTTGGACCTAGGAACGCTAGCTCAGATGTTGTTTACCAGAAATGAAAGTTTTTGTCGGGGGGTGGGGCAGAAAAGGTTGAGGGTTAAGTTCATGAAGGTACTCTCAAACATTTTAAAAAGGAAACCTAACTGCACAAGAAGAGATGTACAGGGTGGGGGCGCTGTGGTTATCTGAACAAGGGCACTCTGAGGAGCCTCTAAAGGGTCTGCAGACGAGTATGCCATTCTCTTGGGCAAGCTGGGCAAGTCCTCTGTGCTCTTTAACTACAAAACGAGGGTAATAGTTCTAACTGCAGAGCCTTTGGAAGGAATCCGTGAAGACACACTTGCTGAGGCATAAAGCATCACAATATCTGGCCTAAAGTGCCAAGTAGCATCCTACCTGGGATGGCAGGAATCTAAAATCAACACACAGGGCAACAATCACCAATAGCCAAAATTACCCTAGAAAGTCTTTTCTATCACCGGGTCTGGGTTTATAAATTACGTTACTTGGAGAAACACCTATATATGAACACTTTATATATACTTACAGTGTATATTCATACATACATATGCAAAATATAATTGAGAGTATCTTAATGCCATAAAAGAAAGCTACAAAGACAGGAAAGTAACATTTAATATACACACGAGGGACGTGACTTCGTTATCAGAAAGCTCCCAACAAACTTTAGTTTCCTTTAAGATGTTTCAAAAGCAGCTAAAGAATCCTGTATATATTTAAAAACAACCCTATTCCCGGGGCATCTGGCTGGCTTAGGAGGCAGTGTGTGACTCTTGATCTTGGGGTTGTGAGTTCAAGATCCACACTGGACACAAAGCTTTCTTTAAAAAAATAAAATCCTATTTCCATTTGTATGTATTATTTTTATTTTTACACAAATTGGAGGGGAGGGAGACAAACGTTCCTCCCCCTCCAGACCCCCCCCAGACTCCTCATCCACCTGCCCTGACCTCCAGAATTCAAAGGGAAGAGATGCCAAAGCCAAAGAATTACCAGTAGGGGTCGCTGTGCTGAGATTAATCCCTATGAGTTTCTCATTAGTGATTATTATACTGCAGGCGGCCAAAATGGAAAAATTAATTAATTTCAAAGTGATAATGCATTTACAGCAACAATTAGAAATGTATAACTATAAAAGGGCAACATTTAAAAGACAGATTACATTTAATAAAGTTGCACAAGAACATCCAATTGTAAAATTACTGATCTGCAACAATATTCCTTAAAGAGGCACTTAAAATAGCCTGACTCCATGAAGGGTGACCTAATTACTGTAACTAAAATCACCGTAGTCACAGCAAGTCACAGCAAATAAAACAGGGACATTGATATTAGAATACTGTTGTTTAATACTTCAGGGAGCCAGCTCGGGTGGAGAAGCAAAGGCAGAGCCTCCAAGCACAAGGCTGGGCTGTGCTTCTGGGTTCCATGACCTTGTGCAACGGCATGTGTACTGGTATCAAAGGAAACACTTCTGGAGTGAAATGCGGATGGAGCTGGGAGGCACAGACAGCCAAGTGGTGATGAGGATGCTGCATCCACGCTAAGCTTCAGGCGTTTAGGAACCCAAATTTCACATGGGTCAGAAGAGGATGCAACTATACGGCTTATGTCCAAAAACAAATCTGTGTTAAAACGGTAGAAATGCACTCTGCATTCACGAAACAAACGTCTTATCGTGACAGAAGGAGTGTCAAGCCACATACAGAAGGATGAAACATCAGACCGACTTTTCAGTAAGCCCAGTCTGTTCCACGTCACACAGACCCATCCCCGGTTACAGTCATGCTGATGCCTCCCCCACACGCATGGAGTCCAAAATGTTTAGGAACGAGAAGGGAGTGGCTGTGAGTTTGACAAGTTACTTCTCATTCCAACTCTTTATAAACCGAGTCCTAGAACTCTGATGGCTAAGAACACCACCCAACACCTAAATATATAAAGATAGTATTAGCAATTTCCTAAAAGTCAAAACTTACATACACATTTCATAGTCTTCATAATTTATATGCTTATCTTAAAAAAGTGTAGTTGTGTCAGATAAAAGATGCTGTTCCTCAGTTACCAGCAGGCAAGAATATGGAAATTTCATTCTGCTACGGCTTCCCAGGGGACCAGAAGTACATGTTGAAGACCAGGCTCTCTTCATCTGGACACCCTTCCTACTGTGCCGATAACCTTCTCTTTGGGGCCTCTGGGGACGGAGACAGAGGTCCTCCCAAAACACCACCACCAGACTCCCAGCTTACAGACTCCCTTAGTTCTGTGACCCTTGTATACAACACAAACAATGACGTTTTGTGCAACAGTTCTCTCCAAAGGTGATAAAACAACAAGAATAACAACCATCATAACAGGAATGCTGCACACCTACTACACATAGACACCATGTGGGCACATTATTTAACTGTGTTTTCTGATCTGAAATATTTAAGTGTAAATGAATTATAAATCTAAATTGAAGTAAAATCAAATTAAAAATTCAGTTTCTTACCTGTATCAGTCACTTCTCAAGGGCTCCATAGCCACATACGGCAGGTGGCTACCATGCTGGATAGTCAGAGTAAAATCATGACAAATGCTATACCCATTATTATAAAATGTCATATCCGTTATGGTCAATCCCCCACCAAGCCACAGGGCCATCTTAGTTGTGAGGAATCATAATGATTTCGCCTTGTGACACTTATAAAGCCCAAAATGTGTCTGGCCCTTTTCTGACGACTTGATGTTAGTTAATTAAGTGAAATAGTACTATTTCGCACTAATTCCAAGTGTTTTTAAAGTCCTCTTGTTTAGAAAGATACCATATCAAATATATTGTGTAAAATGTGCATTGGTCATTTAAAAGACTTTCTATTAAAATGTTTTCATGGAAGATGTCTCTAGATGTGGTTGTTATACAACCATCAAAAATGTAAAAAATTCCCATTTACCTTGTGAACATTTCCAAATCTAACCACAGAAGTGTTTCATCGAAAAGGACCCACCTTTGGGGAGGTAAAGAATAAAATGCACTTCCAACCAACGAAAGGTTCTCCAGATGAGATTTCCATTCATTAAAGAAGAATTCAGAACATCAAATAACGATTCTCAGTGGAAACAAAGGAATCACTTCCGCTGATAATTCAGTGATCAAAAATCCATGTTTTTCACATACTGACCCAAAATACCATTATCAAATACTACCCCTTCTGCATAATAGCAATAAAACAATGGCATCAAAATAGAAGCATTTCCATCAAGACTTCCAGCCGTCCTTAACGCAACATTTGACAACCACATCTACTACCCAGCCCTCCAAGAGCCTTTAGAGAAACAGATGCCATCTACATCCACTGAAGTATGATCTAGAGCCCTTTTTGACGGCTCTGACAGGCCTGAGGATGGGACTTTCAAGAACAGACTCATCACCACAAAACGCAAGAAGCTGAAGAGAACACAGGAGTCCAGAAAGGGTGCACTGAAGGTGTTCGCGGTGACAGAAGCTGTTCACTTACCATGGACTTGGTGAAAGGCCGGGCCAAGGTAAACAGCAGCGTGTACACCCACCAGTTGCGGTGAATGGAGGAGTACATCATGTTTCCAGGATGCACGGCATTGGACGTGACCCCGCGTGGGGACAGGCGGCGGTGGAGCTCATTGGAGAAGAGAATGTTGCAGAGCTTGGACCGGTTATAAGCCAGCATGGCCCAGTAGTCATTTTTAGATGGAGAAAGGCGGCTGAAGTCCAGTTTTCCCGAGGAATCATTAATATCTGTGAATCTAAAAAAAAAAAAAAAGAAGAAGAAGAAGAAATAGGACGTGAAGCAGCCAATCTCGATTTCTGATACTAGCATCTTTTTTCTTACTTAGAAATCTGAGGAAATCAGAGACAACTGTGAACAACTGAGAACACAATTGTGCAAATGTAGAAACAAGTCTCCCTTAGAAACTGACAATAGTGATTTAACACAATAAACCAACTGGGTCCAAAGACAGAGTAAATAAAGGTCTAAACTCAGAAATGGGGCAATTTTAACATGCTGAACTCCCCCTCCCTCTAACATGGATTTTTCAAAACCTTCAACAGGAAGTTCAAGGATAATTAAATTAAATGGAAAAGCATCTTAAATAAAGGGCTGCTGCTTTTGGGAGCAGAAAGATATCACATTCCTAACCTTTGACCGGGCTTTCCTGGGTTGTTTTAGCCAACAAATGCATGAGCCCTGTGTATTTTCATTTGAGCATCCAAGTAAATATAGATGAGTCTTGCTGCCCCCAAGACTCTTTTCCAGATTAAAAATTAATGATTATAAAGGGGTTATAACCTTGGTGAGGTGCCATCAATAGTCTTATACGTTTAAAAGATAAATGTAAACAAAGCCAGAATGAGTTCTGGCAGAGTCTACTGTTTTTAAGTATACCCATGGCATGGATACACACAAATCAAAGTAAGTAGTTGATGTTTTATAATTGGGTCTGACGGAGTCATTAAACACCAGCTGTTTGGTCCTTTCCTTTCTTTCCTGTTCTTTCTTTCTTTCAGTAACAAAGTAGTGACTGCCCTAAAAGAAAAGATAAAAAAGAATCCTAACAAAAGGAATTTTCTAGATGATGGTGCCAGCCTTGTTAAGGACCCCTCACAGCTTCCTTCACTAAATTAACTCTGGGCATTTGCACCAAGTAATAAGGAAACATAAGGGAGTACTCTGGGTAACTGCTGTGGAAACAGAAGCAAAAGGTAAAATGAAAATTATGGAATAATCTGGTTGTTCCTTAAGATGAGCAGTTCAGGCTCAGCTATGACCAAGGAGAAGCATCACAGGGACAGATGAAATTCATGTTTTAATGGAAATTAGACCTCCCTTCTGCAGAACTCAGTCAGTGATACCCAATTTCTGGTGTTAAATGACATCGCTGCTCTAAAGTCATCAACAAAGCCGATGGCCAGAAATGTTATCACAGAAACAGCAACAAGACCTTGAAACTAATTGTTGGCTGCCTATTTCCAAATCCCGAAACCACAGGAAGGGCCCAGACTTCTGAGCTTAATCATCTAAAGCAGTAGAACTTAGCGGGAAATTTGAAAATTTATGGGGGCCTTTTTCTGGTAGTTATAATGATTGCCAGCGGGGGCCGGGGATGGTGGATGTCCTGCAATGCAGACAGAGTCTTGCTCGGTGAAGACTGGCCCACTGGACATTCATGCAGATGAAAAGCCTGTGTATAACGATCTGAGCCTACAGCCTGTTTTACATACATGCACGGTTTTAACATTCACTGCATTTCTAAGAGTACAGTAGAACAACTATGCAAATGAAGAATGAACACACGTTGATATTCCATGGGTTCTGGGGGGAGGTGAGCCTTGAGTCCACACTGGTAGTATATGAGTCTGCAGTGCCACACACCTGTTAACAGTCTGCATTTGTGAGTACCCCAATGGAGGTGACTTACGTGCGGGCACGGACATCTGATTACTTACCTTTCCTATAGTCCTGCTCAAGTAAGAAACAAGCTATTTTGTTTCACATTTATTTTTTCTTCCCATTACAGTTAAGCTAGCATACTGAATTAAAATATATTTATGCAAGGAAGCTGCATTATTTCTGAACTTTATTTCAACCTGTAATATGGTATCACAAAAAGAGACTGTTGAAAATCCAATGATCCAACATATGGGCCATGTCTTAGAAATTCTACCTACTCTAAGTAGAAAGTAGCACCAAGGATCTAGACAGCATCTAAATGGTATGGGATAAGAATAGCATCCTTCTCTCATTCTCCACTCTTCTTTCCATCAATTTTGCTGAAAACCATTCTTGGCATATTTGTTTAGCCCAACCTAGCTTGAGAGCCATTTCTTCCAGGCAACTCTCCCCAGCTGCTTGTTGTCATAATGATTCTTGGGTGGCAATGGGAACGGACTGGAAGAAGCCACGCAAAGCATAAGGAAAGACACGTTTCCATGGAAATTAGGCACCCACTTGCCAGGACCTAGGCCATGATGTCCCTAGTGTTCAATGACCCCACACTGCCCCACCCCAACAACAGTAACAAAGCAAGCGATGCCATCTTTGGCTTTTATCTGTCCTTACCACGCCAGACTGCAAGCCATTTAATCACCTGCTTCCAACTCTGCACTGTGAATTCCTAGAAGGTGGACAGTAAGCCCCTTGCATAATGCCTACCACTGTGCCTGACACATAGCAGGGACTAATTACAGGCTTAGAGAATTCAAGTTTGGTGGTGGGTCTGGAAATCCAAACTAAAGGACCAAGTTTCCTTATTTGAGCCTTGTTCCAAAGGGAAAATTTAGCATTAGTTTCAGGTCCGCTAGGTTCCTCATCAATAGGTATATATGTGTAGCACTTCAGAAGTTTAGAACGAATTCCCTGCTTTGGTTTTGAAGGACAACACAGAAGTATCTCATGACTGAGGAATACCAGGCAGGTTAAGAGGGGGAAAGGAAACGATTCCTAGTCCTTAATCTAGAAATAAGGCAAAACACACACACACAGACACACACACACACACACACACACACCCCATGCTGAGAAATCAGATGGAACACAGTGGAAGGAAATTCTCAGGATGGAGAAGCACACCTACTATACGGCAGGCCCACGCTTTGCAAGCAGCCCCCACTCCGTTAGAGGGCACCTGACTTTCTGCCCTGATAATCTCCTGAGCAACAGACCCATTTTTAAGGTCTGATTAGCTTGTACTGACAGTCTTCTGGAAAACGGGAAGGGTAGGCAAGCTTTTTGATTCCTCTGAAGCAGGGCAGGCTTCCTAAAAAGTGACCGTGTTTACCTCTCAGCTCAAGTGGCAGTGAAAGAACTCTTCAAAGGCTACCTACCCTATTTTCAAGTTGAAAAACGACAGTGCCACACAACAATATCTTAGTAGAACTGTCCTCCTACCGATACAGTAAAATGTTAACATTTGCTCTCTGGGCATTAACACTTGCTGTTGTGGGGCTCTCTATCTTGTGTTTCTATACATACTGCTCCTTTTGTTTTCTTTTTAACCGAGGACTTTTAAATTGCCAAACAAAAATAATTAGTCTGGATTCTATGTAGACAAAAGCTAGTACGTTCAAAGAATAAGACTGAATTTGCTTCAGAAGCTGTGTGTGTGTGTGTGTGTGTGTGTGTGTGTGTGTGTGTGTGTAGCAACTTGGCACTCAACACAGACGCAGCCATTCAGAGCTGTACAGCCAGCCCTCTGCTCTTCTCATTCTATTTTAATTGTTATCTGAAAAATTTTCGCAGCAAGGAAGTTGAGTTCTCATTTCAATATGATATATTTTGGGTATGTAGAAACCCCATTCCCTTGCTCAGACTCCAGATGAGTAACTAAAATACAGTGAAGACACAGGAAGGCTAATAAGTATTTTGCCTGGGGGCAGTCTGGTATAATATTTTTCTGCAAACATAGGACTTTATTTTTCCCCAAACAGGGGGTCCTGACTCCAACGAAGAGACTCCACCAAGGTTTATGGAGGTAATTAGATATCCACACTTCCATTTTACAGCATGGTTTAGGGCTCTGGGTCCTTGAGCAGTGAGCGAGTGCTTTCCCAGGACCATACTCACATTGTCATCTCGGGCACCGCAGGAGGCAACACAAGTGTAATAAACAAATAATAAGCTCGCGGGAATTAGCATTTTGTAAAAATACCCCCTAACAGGTGCCAAAGATGACCAGAAAGCAGAAAAACCAGTGCCCATCAGCAGATAGGAGTGGGCCTGATGAGACATTTCAGGAAGTCCTTGGCTCTAAACTAAAATGGGACTAATTCAGGAGACCAAGGCCCTTCCTTCCAATTTGTCTGTTCCATGAAATTAAGATTCAGATCTCCAAGGTAGGCTCGAATTATGCGGCAGTTAAGAAAAGAACAAAGACGTCACATGAAATACCATTTGAGATACAGATTTACAAAGGGAAGCAAGCAGCTGACAATTCAACATAATCTCCCATTAAATACCAACTCATTTAAACATATCCCGTGGTGCCCTCCACATCTGGCAAACGATCAGGGCTGGCAGATTTATTTCCGGAGCTCGCTCTCCCGCACCAGCCCCACAGTAGCCTCCCTCACTCCTGAGCAGGGCCACTCCACTCCCTGCTCCCCCGCCCCCACAAACCTGGTGTGATTTGCAAAGATAAGACTGTTCAGATTTTGTTACCACCTAATTACTAGATGTTTCGTGTCTTTTAACACAGGAGAGGATTATTACGGGCATTTTCCTTTCATTTCAGCCATCATAAATTTAAAATGGTAAAAGTAAATCTATCTGCAATGTGTCACTTATACCATAAGCCCCTGTGTTTGGGAGTGATAAAGGGTTCAGGCTAACCCTTGGCTGGTCTCTCTCTTCCAAGTCCCAGGGGTTACATTTTATGGAAGCATGATTAAAAAAATAAGCTTCATTCTGGGTCACTAAAACATTTCAGGACTTAAGACAGAGAAGAAGGGGGAAAAAATAGGCCCTTGCACATTATTTTTTTTCCAGCTACTTTGCAAAGGGTGAACGCTCCCAGCCACACCAGGAAAATCTCCCTAACATGCATTATCTAGCCTCACCCGCGAAGTCCTTTGTCTTCTCTGACTACTTCTCTTTAGACAAATAGTTGTTTATCCAACTCTAGAAACAAATACGCTGAAAATACGACAAAATTTTCAAATGCCTTTTTAGTCAATTGGATATTCTCCTAATGGTAATAGAAGAGAAGTGCCATCTGATGTTTTAATTGAAATTTTAACCAAAAGAGGCATGGCCAGATTTCTAATATGTTCTAACTACAGTACTTTCCCTTTCTACAATTACACAGCTAATGTCTGCATTGAATTCCCTAATTTCTCATTATAAAACAATTGGATTTCATCTCGCAGTCTTTAATTGCATTGTTTCTCCTGCTAGAATAACTGCACATTCTTCTTGGTGAGGTGTTGAAGTTGTTGAATGACAAATCGATAAAGGTCAGGCATTCAGATTTAATCAATTATTATTCCATCTCAAAGCAAAATCAATGAGGGGCCTGAAGTATAGTTGTAAAAGCCATCTACGTCGCTATAGACAAAACCCCCTCCTAATCCTCCACAATCTCAAAACATGAGAAAGACCCCGGAAAACTAAGGAAGCCAGGCTGAGCGCACCCACACTTTCTGAAGGAGCATCGCTGAAAAGAATTTTCGGGAAAGGAAGCCTGGGGGAAACACTAGCTGGTACAAAAAGGGGGCCATGTGAACAAAACATCAGACTGTAACCCACCTATGGGACTCCGACGAGACCACAACTACTCGGGCAGGAGCAGAGCGGCACAGGACATCCTGAAGGAGCTGGACAAGGTAGAAGTGACCCAGGTGATTCACCTGGAAGGTGGTCTCCAGGCCGTCTTTGGTGAGGCTCCAGGGTAGAGCAAAAGCCGCTGCATTGCACACAAGCACGTGAAGAGATCTGAAAAATAAAACATCCAACGTTGTGCAGACATTAACACTCTAAAATCAAAGATAGCCCATACTCTGACAGGAATAACCAATTTTTCCCTGTCTTCAAGATTCATCAGTTGGAAACAGGATGTCATAGCATGAGCCATTCTGCTGGGCAAGGGCTTAGCCTATGAGTGGGCTGCAGGGCACCAGGAGTTCCCCAGCATACAGGACTTCCAGTGCTCAAACCGGGGCCATACTGGGCAAACTGGTCACCCTGGATAGAACCCAGATTCTAAAACCTAATTTTATCTGTGCATCTTAGTTTATTCAATTCTTAGCTTCTTTACCTAAAAAATCACAACAGTCTTTAAAGTAGATTTAAAAAATAAAAGAGAAATTAGTTTGTATAAAGACCAACACAGGAACCAGCATTTAATAGATTCTAAGTAAACATATCAAGGGGGAAATGCTCTGTTTAAAGAGACAGGCACACATTGTTTGAATATATTCCTCCCAGAGGCTGAATTACATCTACGCTTTATTTTTATTTTTTTTTTAATTTCTTTTCAGCATAACAGTATTCATTGTTTTTGCACCACACCCAGTGCTCCATGCAATACGTGCCCTCCCTAATACCCACCACCTTGTTCCCCCAACCTCCCACCCCCCCGCCCCTTCAAGACTCTCAGGTTGTTTTTCAGAGTCCATAGTCTCTCATGGTTCATCTCCCCTTCCAATTTCCCTCAACTCCCTTCTCCTCTCCATCTCCCCATGTCCTCCATGTTATTTGTTATGCTCCAAAAATAAGTGAAACCATATGATAATTGACTGTCTCTGCTTGACTTTATTTCACTCAGCATAACTTTAGAAACAAGCAAGCCCAGGGACAGGTAAGTGGAGGTCTAGTATAATATTCTCTCCTATTTCGTATATATATAATTTGTTTCATAATAAAATTTTAAAAGGTAGAAGTAAGCCTTTCTAAATCCTCATAGAGAACTGGTACTTGTGGGAGATCATCCCATGGTGCTAATAAGAATTATAAAAAGGTATTATTAAAGGTTATCCACACTGTTGGTAATTACATTGAAAATGCAAGAGATTACAAAATAAATGAAATGTAAAATTGGGAAATCATTAAATGACTCTGAATATATTCATATGGTAGAATACTATGCAGCCATTAAAATGATATATCTTTTGACCCTGTAAAACATGCATGTTATAGAACAAAATATATAATATTGTATGATCACACAAACACACATAAAATACTAATGAAAGGTACACAAAAATGTGAATAGTAGCTGTCTCTAGAGGTGGGTGGAACCTGAAATGTCTTCAAGTATCTTCTTTCTGAGTTTTAATTTTGATAAAATGCAAGTGATATGTATATTTTCTTTTGTTACTTGTGCTTTGGGGGTCTTATCTATGAAACCATTGCCTAACCCAGCATCACAAGGATACACTTCTATCTTTTCTTCTAAGAGTTTTAGTTTTAGCTCCTACATTTAGATCTATGGCCCTTTGTAAGCCACACAGAAGTAAAGTGAATGCAAGAGATCTAACATCATTCTTTGGCATGCAGGTCTTCCAACTGTTGTAGCTGTGTCTCTTAAAAAGACTAATCTTCCCCACACTGAGTGGTCTTGGCACCCTGGATGAAAATCAGCTGACCAACTGAAAGAATTTATTTTAGGACTCTCAATTCTATTCCATTATTATGGTAGTACTACAGTCTTTGTTACTAAAGCTTTGTAGTAAATTTTTAAATTAGGAAGTGAGAGTAATTCGGTGTTGTTCTTTCACAAGCTTGGGTTGGCTTGTGAGGAGCCCTGCGTGCACATATAAAGTTTAGAGTCAGCTTTCAATTTCTGCAAAAAAAAAAAAAAAAAGAGAGAGAGAGAGAGAAGAAAGAAGGAGAAGAAGGAGGAGGAGAAGAAGGAGGAGGAGAAGGAGAAGCAGAAGAAGAAGG